AGTACTCACCTCACCTTTTTTCTACCTTTGTGTTTGTTTCATACATCTTTGAAACACTCTTCAGTTCCCCCCTCTCGACATTTTTTCAATTTGATGCTCCTTCCCCTCTGTGAAGCCTGAGGTCAACTAAAGGGCTAATGATAATCATCAAGACGCCTGCCATTTGATATAAAGAAATAAATAACCTTAAGGTAAAAACCAGCAGCAAAAAAATTATTCAATGAAGGAAAAGTCAATATAACAGGGGAGTGATAAAGTATCAGCCATGCAGATCACGTGACTGCGTATGGCCTTAATCGTTGCAGCAAATACATGGTGGGGAAAACCATTCCTGATACACTGTGGCTAGTGTTCTTGTTAGTTTAGGAATCATATTTGCAGCTCCCGATCTGGGACATTTAATTTGTTTAGCAACTCTTGCGAGTAAACACGCCCTTTAACTGAGTTGTTATTTAAGAAAGAATTTAAATCATGCAGCAGCTACTTAAATCAGATTTAAGTAGTAATTCAAGATTTTACCAAAAATAACGGATTCAAAGGGGGGAGGATCAGCAGAACGTGTCAAAGTATGCGAAATAACAGACGAAAAAGACTAGATGGAAGCACATCTCGTTCATTTGCCAAATACGGATGAATTCAAAAATAGCTGAATTAGAAAAACGCCATTCAGGGTGAAAATAGAATAGAATCGGTCACCTGTAACCGCATATAAGTCCGATTACTACTGATAGGCCAGTAAATAAAATTTAGTTAAAACTGATGACAGACTCAAAGATTACTTAAGAGTAGTGAAAATGATGGTAAGTGGTGAATACGATAGGGACACAACATAAGTTCGCCTCGTAATTGCATTAATGAAAGACTGTTGCTCGCGTTATTTATTTAAGGCCCACCCTTAGGGCCCTATTACTCACACACACAACGGGCCTATTCGATAAGGTGTCAAGCCCAATTTAGGCTAAAAGTCGCAGTGGTCTGCGATACCCCATGATGCGTCAGACACCCAGACAGTTTGAGTAACTCGAGGACAAGCGGTTATAAGTCCGGCAGTCCTTTAATCACAAGACACCAATATACGAAGACGTGTTGTATTCATTTATGTCTAAAAATTCGTTTGGTTGGTAAATATGAATGGAATAATTGCATCTCTGTCTTATCTCTCTCGCCACCTGGAACCGAGTCAACAGTAATCTGGCGAGCAAGCCAATTGTTGAGGCATTACACCAAGTGGTGAAATGGGCCAATAAAAAGTGAAGTATGAGGCCGTGCTTATAGTGAAATATAGATAGGGAAGAGGAGACTTACCCCCAGAACTTGAGGGTCATCGAGGCATCAAGAAGTGCGAAAGCGCATCCGAGATAATTGAGACAAAAGAGTGCAGACAGGCTGGTTAAAACGTCATATAGACGATGATGCCAGTAACTCTTCAAAAAGCATGGTCGAAGTCTTGCCCGACAGAGTCTAGATTGGAGAAAGAACAAATATTGGAATAAGTTAAATGAATATCAAAGTTCCGACTTCTGTGGTGAATGTCAACAGAAGGAACTCTGCTGGTCGCCAACTCCACCTTGCGCAATGACATCATCTTACACATGTTGCAGTAATAACAGCGCATACATGGTTTTTCTTGGTAGCTACTTATTTAAACAAATAAATGATGGCACTGAATTTCAATACGATATTGAAAAAAAGATATTGAAATTAAGTTGAAAAACTTTCATACCAGAGAGAACAAGAGCGTAAAGAAATTAGCCACAATATCAGACTTCTAATCTGTTATGCCATGGGGTGTGCGATAGACTTACCTCCACGTGGTGAACCCTGGGCAACGTATTCTCATACGGCAAAAAGGTCAATTAACCGGCAGTTGACTTCTCACTTCCAACTACCATCACCCCACTCTATGTTATATTTCACAACTTTCACAGTACTCATCTTACCTTTTCTCTGCCTTTGTCTCTGTATGTCTGTCTCTTTTACATCTTTGAATCAATCTTCTGTTTCCCCTCTCGAATTTTTTTTTTCACTTTGATGTCCCTCTCCTCTGTGAAGCCTGATGTCAACTAAAGGGCTAATGATAACTATCATAACGCCTGCCGTTTGAAATAAATAAATCTTCTATGTGTACCCAAAAGTTAAGAGAAGCAAATTCATCCACACATTCATATGCTCTGCACGATCTTTAAATAAATTGACGTCTTATTGTTATTATTATTGGAATTAAAGAAGGCGGACGGAAACGGGCCAACACCATTCAAACCATAACATTTAAATCAATCTTCGAGTAGTAAATAAAGTAGATAAGAAGGGTAGGATGAGAATGTTATTACTTTCTTCAACTTCTGTGAATCCTACTTAGGGAGCACTTAATGGATTGAAAAATCTTGCCATAATCAAGGAACATGGACACAATTTGAGGCACGGACTTCTCTGCAAAGTACATACGATAAGGCAGATGTCATCAATCTTGCCCGTAAGAACTAAAAAAAAATTTATAGCCAGGTATGTTAGGCAAAAGAGTGGGGTAGCGTTGCGTGGCAAATGAGAAACATCTACGTGGGCATTGCGTGCATAGGACATGATGCAACTGAGCACAGAAACGATCAATATTGTGCACACGTGAGCTGATTTAGCACAACAAAGCACTCTCAAGTCAATCCGGTGCACAATCGCACTTGGGAAAATTTTTACATTAATTGGCAAAGAATAGAGTAGTTAGATAATAAAATTTTTAATCTTTTTTTTACAATGATTAACACCTTGTTTCAACTTAACAATTATCAAGTAAATAAAGTGAACGAGTAAACATGACTTTGATACTTTAAAGTTACGAAAAGACGTTCGCTTATCAATGCAGGCATTGTAACTCTAATCATCAAGGTAATGAAGATTCCTTTGAAGAGCTTAATAAAGGGATTGTATTTAGATTAGGAGCTAGAAAGTCGTAAGGGTTTCACAGTTTTTTTAGATAACTTGATGATTGTCAATACAGGATCATTGAGAGGAGGATCTTAAAGTCACATTAATTTATCCCCATCAATAAATCACTTGCCTTACTTCATACTTTCTGAAAGTTTCTGGATGAGTTTTTTTTTGGAATTCAGACAATAATTACCGGATTTAGAAGCCGGTAAGATGCAAAACATCAATCTGAATAATCTGTGATTTGTCAAAGGTTGCGATAGTATGACTAGGTAGTTTTCAGGCTGTTGGCTATATAATCATCAGTCGAATTAAAGATGTCACCGGGGATATTGTTGTTCGTGTTATCAATCCCTTATAGATATCTCAAGACTGGTCTAGCAATAAAACCTGTTTAACGTGAGCGGAATCTTGTGGACATGTCTCTAGAATAAAAAAACGGTCATTGATTTTGCAATATAGCAAATCTTTTGGCCCCGTAAACTAAACGAAAGCTTTAAATAACGAATACAAACCTGCCAGTCATTGTGACGAGAGCGGCAGAGAGGAAACAAAGGTAGTATACGGGATAGAATCCATGCCAGAAAGCGGAAACTAGAAAGACGGATACCACAGCATGGCGTTTAGGCGCTCTCACGTACACACACTCCCGCAGCCATCGCACTGTTCCAAGGTTCCAGCTGTCTAGCATCACCTTGGTGTTGGTCCCAATCTACAAGAGATATGGCACATTACTTAAGCACGTATTTTCAAATAATGGGGTGTGCGAAAGACTTACTTCCACGTGGTACACCCTGGGCAACGTATTCTCTATAAACCGGCAGTCGACTTCTGACATCAAACTACGATGGACCCACTGTATGTCATATTCGCCCCCTTCCACAGTACTCCTCTTACTTTTTCTCTGCCTTTGTGTCTGTCTGTCTATCTCTTTTGCATCTGCGAATCGCTCTTCTGTTCTCCACCCCTCGACTATCCTTTACTTTGATGAACCCTCCCCTCTGTGAAGCCCGTAGTCAGTTAAATGGGTAATGATAACTACCAAAACGCCTACCGTTTGATATGAATGATTTTCAAATAAACCTCAACAAGAAAACTTCTAAGAACGTGGTCTTAGCACACATGCACTCGAAGATTCAATTAGAGCGAAATAATTGTTCAGAATAGTAGAACAGGCTTTTGATGTCAATATGTGACGTCTTCTCTTAAGCTCCTTCTTTGACTACTAAACACAAATAACCCCCCACCCCTTTAGGTACAAATACACTCAACCCTTTGACATAAAGAATTAATATTTGGCTTTAATGAGAACCTATACTCATTGCTGCATCGCTAAAAAAGTTAATTAATATCCTGTCCCGTTAGTAGATGGTAAAATAGGAACAAGTTGGAGAATAACTAAACGCGTAGCAATACGAAAATAACCTAATTGCTTAATTGTGTGAAGTAACTGAAATCGGAGTCTTGCTATATTTGTTTTTATTTTAATTTCTATTTGGAGACTATCTGTCGAAACAAATCTCACGATTTGATTGCAATGAAAGGCTTGTCTACGATGTTTAGCGATTACTTAGCAGTTCTTGTGTAATTGAAAATTATGAATGCAAAATGACCTCACATGACATTAACCAGTCAACAGTTTCAACTCAACAGAGCGGAGACACTTAGAGGTGATAGATAAGGAGAATTTCGTTGGAGCTACATTCACTCAAGATGAAGGAAGGCAAAAAAATGCAATTGAACCGAGCACATCAAAAACAAATGTCGATTTCATTAGTTCAGAACCATCTGGAACTAAGTTTTTAAGTGGAATAAAACGATGAGGGTAAGAAGGTAAGAAGTCCTGATGCAGATTGAGGAAACTGAAGTGGTATATCAATGCAAGGGACTTACCTCACATCCCCAAAAGCGGAAGTTAATGGCATTGCGATATTCAGGCTCCAGGGCACCAGTTGACGACGAGGAGAAACCCGAAAATCCGAAACCGGAAACAAGCATCGCCAGGGCACCTAACGGGAGAAATAATAAGCAAGACTTAAAGTAGCACGACTCCCCCACCCCACCCCACCCCCGTCCCCCTCCACTGGGCAGGTAAAAATTACTTCCCCTCAAAGAGCAATCCATACAGTTCCCCACTATTTGACTGCATTAATAATGCGCGCCTGACATTTACCATTAGCATTTAGCTTAACTTTAATTTAGTGTACTTAAGCAAGGCTTATTTTGAGCAAGTTGAAACATAACATGAGGCGAGAAGTCACGTTTGATTAGAGACACCAACGAGACTGTACTTCAAAGGACTCGTTTGGCACAAAATATTAACGGCTGACCAAAAATGATATGAGACAATGAGTGCAAAACACATGCAGCAGAAACTGATAATTCATTTGAGATCACCTGAAAATGGGTGCAAGCATGAACCATATCAGTGAAAGAAAAAAAACCAACCAACCAAGCCACTTATTATCAATTTAATTCAATAGTTCATTCCAATTGAGATCTCAATAAATCACAACCTACTTTTGTTTCACCTCCTTCTTGAAATCTCCTGCATAAATCAATTAAAGTTTTGAAATTTCAGTGGGCGCAAAACTCGGTTCCAAATCATCTTTAGATTTAGATAAGAAAATAAGTGCAGAGAGGGTTAACGAATGAAATTAGAGGCAGATGACCCGGCGGTTAAGCTGATTTTGAAATAGCTACCTTATGTGTAAGGTTAGGGAATTATTAACTGTGGAAATATTGTATGGATGTAGATGTACACAATTTCCAAATCAGCACTTTGTTCAGGCCAAAATTGTAGGAAAACTGCCGATATACATCTGATAGCAGTAGTTTTAGCTAAAAGATTATATTTCCAAACTAGTACGTGTGTCGATCAAGTTTGTATGCCTATTCAAGAAGCTGAAACAACCTGAAAAAAACGAGGGTAGTAGAATGTTTTGGCGTTTTGGCACTACTTAACATGGTAGACAGGGAGTGATTTTATGATTAAAGGCTTTGGTGCAAAAACAATGCCAGTTTCTACCTTAGAACATAACTCAAGACTAACAATCGAGATTCTAAAATAAGTTCGCAATACTAGGCAGCGTTGTCCCAAGAGGCAAGACAAGTAAATAACGAAAGGTAGAAGTACAAAGAGTATTCTGAAATTTGCCTCGCCCATCTAACTTCGCTATGAGAGTTAAAGACCATTGATCATGTACCTTGATCCAGCCAGAAGCCACAATGAGCTTCCTGATCAGCTTTAGCACTGATCTACTCTTCGCTTGTGAGTTTGCTATTAATTTGCTCAGGGCTTATGATGAAAAACTTACGGATTACATACTAATTTACGGATATGCGTAGCTCAGTTATCCTCAAACTGATTATTCGAAACTGTAGCTTGTATGGAAAGCAAACATTGCGTAATTAGCATAATTACAAATCAGACTGCAGTTATGTTTACCCTTTCCGATTCATAGAAAAATTTGGTTATTGAAAATGCCGATGCGATGGTCAAACTCCTAATCATAATAAGCTCTCATCTCTCGCGTTTGTGATTCAACAAAAGCCCCCACAAAAATGTTATCATTCTAATGGACTCTCCGTTTCAATGACTATGAACATAAACACCCACAATTTACATACCGAACACATTAATCTGTCTTCTGAGTTGGTGCAAAATTATCATAACATCAAAGTTCAAGTTAAAATAGCAATCGCAAGATAAGAAAAAAACCACAATTGGGTTATTTTCAATGGGTCAGTTTTACAAATAGTTTGATCAAGCGCATTATAACCCCCCAAAGAAATAATTGTTAAAAGAGAATTTAATAAAACATAACTTACTGAGAGTCCAGGCGCAATAGAATTTTTGTCTGAGGTAGAATCCATAGAGGGTGAGCCAGAAATACTTTCGAAAAATGCCCAATCGCTGGAACTCATCAGCTAAATTATAAATAACAGACTTGAATGTAAAACATTAAATAAAATGCATCTAAATTAATAAAAATATTACAAATTAGGTATGTCGGCTCATACCGACCAGAAGCGTAGAGGGCAAGAACAAAATGAAACACAAAAGTAATGAAGTGAGTCTTCAAGACCCCCTAAAATAAACGAAATAACAAAAATTAAACAATAGAAACGAATACAAAATAATCTGAAACTATAATTTCATTTTTTTGCTCCATACCTTCGGATTTCTAATTTCATCTTTGTGATTCATCTGGAGAAAGAGAAAGGTAAGTGTGAGCGAAGTAAGTTCAGAACATACCACATAGTCCCGTTCAGTGGGATCTGAAACCTGGTCTTCTTCTCTGCCTTCGATAAAATTTAAATAATCTGTGAAGAATACAAATGGTCCAACCATTGAATTTTGGAAGCACATAAGATAGCTAAAGAAAGGCAATAATTTCGGTCGACTTCTAAACATAAGTATAATTAGAAGAACCGCTAATGGGATCTACTTTATGGCATGAGTTTTGTGGGATTCTATCCGGAGTTCCTTACCCGAAGATAAGACAGTACCATCGTAAAAATTGAAGGCAATAGATGAAAGCTTTTGCGTTTGAATCATTAAGGGTCTAGGAACAAAATGAAAAATAAAAGCGGACTTACGCGGTAATATCCACAGATTGCTGTCTTGGATCACCATCGGCAAATAGTCTCTGAATATGTGCCCATGAGAGAAAAGACATTGTAAAAAGAAGAACTGCATACTGGACGACATTAGGAGGAAGGAAAACCATCATTAAGTATGCCACAATGGCCTGCCAAAACAGTAAAAGCGCATTACTATTTCAATTAGGAAATGAAATGATAACTTACTCCTGATAACAGATATACATAACTAAGGTTCCTACAAGAATTTCTGCTAGATGTCTCCAAGTGATATATTGCTTGTGGGGAGGGAAGAAGTTTTTCAGTAGATAACTGCATAGAATTGCAAAGAGTTGGGATACAAAAAATGTGAACTAAAAAAATTATAAAGAAAAACTTTAGAAACCTGGTCCAGAGGAACCCCGAGGAAATCACTAATTTCCAGCAACATCAAACTAGGTATTAGATGCTAAAAATGCAGAACAATTTTGAAAGGTAAGCTGTATTAATCAAAGTATGACCTTATTACCTTGACAAAGTAAAGTAAATTGTTTTATAAAAATACATTACAGAAGTAGACCTCATAATTTAGTCATTTTTTCTATCATTATTTATTTAAAAGTAAAAATTTTGAAATATTTTATTTTGATTAGGGCTTTTGACGAAATTTTCATTGTAATCATTTTTCAGTCGTATAGCTTTAATCATGAGAACTAGAATTGTCCTCACATAGAATAAGCTATTGTGATATTCAAATGAAAACCTTTTCTCAGCAGAGTTCAGGTATTTTTGATTCAACAACAGCATTAAAGAAATTTATTGAAAAATTTTAGAGGCCTCTAGGTTATCATCAACGATCGACTTCTTCATCCTACGAAGCCCGGGTACATGATCTAATCTGAAGTCAAAATTTATTTCAAAGGATTTCTTGTGTTTGAGACCTCCAAATGCTTTTTACCTGTTGGGAGATTTCAAGTCATAATGTAAAAGGGAACAACTACCTATAATAGCTTTAATCAGCTAAATAAACCGTTATTAACCTATCGAATCTCCTGAGTTTTCAAGCTAATTTTTTTTAAAATTTATTAAAATCGTTTTAATATTTTATACTCTTAAGAGTCTCCTCTCAGTTGTCAAAAAATATATCAAAATCGAATATATATCGAAATCTCTTCCCTATTGCCAAGAAGTTAAACTTTGTTATGAGCAAAGCACAATTTATTTTTGCAACAGAATATTCAAATATGCTTTCGAACGATTTTATACATACTGATCTTTATCGATTATGATATTAACCAGATCACTGGTCTGCAATAATGTAAGAGTTTATGTCGATTATTTTGTGATTTTTTTAAATTTACAAATCTCCTCCCTTGAGTGTAATGCTACTCCATTAATTGATTTTCTAATCAGCACCACTCATCAAGTTCCTATGAAAAGACATGTTTCAGAGCTGTTTGCTTATTTTGGCACCATAAACTCATTGTTGCAGCAAAATGTACAAATAATGTTCATCCGAGTTCGATTTTTTTACATTGTAATAATGTTTATCATCTGTTAGCTGTTAATTTAGCTCCGTTGTCTACTTATTCAAATGCATCAGAGTTAATTCGCTAAATATGCAAAGTCATTTTTCAATATTTTGCATTACTTTAAAATTCAAAATTACAAAGAGTTGATTACCGGATCTAATTAGTTTCATGAGTTGCTTTAAAATGGACCTCTTACCTTAATTGACCTTGATATATGCGCGTACTTAATTGAGCGAAGTCTATATCGTCCGCCTTCTAATTTCGTTAATTATGCAAGAAATAAATATTTATTAATCTTGTCAAAATTATGCATATAATTTTTATTTTGTTATTTACGTCTAAATTTTGCTCTGGAAACACTAATGGTGGCACTATACCAGTTGGTAATTCTATTAAATTGGCTAAAATCTTCTAAAATAAATGTTTCCTAATTTAGCTTTTTCAGACACCCTGGATGTTAGCGAAACAGACCTAAGATCAAAACAAATAAAACCTGTGGAAATTAAGATTGAGGAATTTAAATGGCCTTCGAAGTCCTATGGTATGTGTTTCAAACTAAAGTTGAACATTTGCTTTTATAATATATGGGATGAATAATTTTTTATCGTAACTTTATTAGCTGTGTACAGGTGCGCAGTTGGGGACTTCAATTCAATTTTTGGTTTGAACACAACTGGGGAAAACGTTGCGTATTTCATAACCGGAGTACCTCCTTCTCGACGTTTTTATGCTTCAAATTGGCTGAGGATTGCACCATACTTACCAGATCTTCATTCAGTGGTTAAAAAGATGAAAAAGAAAAGACATCTATTTAAACAACAAGTTTTCATCACCGACGAATCGCAAGGTTATGATTATACTATCTTGCTATAATTGCTCTGACCTTTCATTAGGCCTCTAGTATACTTGATCAACCATTTTTTGAAATATTTGTCTCATTAAATTATACTGTGACCATATTTTTCGCTCCTCTAGAATGCCGAATACTTCTAGAGCTTATCTCATCTGACTTTACTTGGAACATTCTTGGAAAAAATGACCCTGACTACATGATGAAAGAATTGATATTTCTTCGAGAGAGTATCATAAATTTGAACATTCATTTTGCAATTTGTGATCAAGGCGATTACTCCTTATCTTCTTCCAAAATCATATTCTCATTAATGGTGTTGGAAAAGGTTGGCTGACTTTTTCAGAGATTTACATTTTTTCATGATTTTCTTTGTGACATTGAAAATGAGTTTGGTTTAACGTAAAGTAGATGCACAAAATTTAAATACAATATAAGATTAATATATCCTATTAATTTCAGCTTCTTAAAACTGGACTTTATGCAAATTCTGACATCTACGTATATACACGACTAAACATGGTAAATTTTAGTCATTATAAATTGCAGTTCTTAAAAAAATTTTGTTTAAATTATTTAACCTTTTATTTGTTTGAAAATAAAACAAAGAGCGAAGGCGCATCACAGGCTCTTTTCACTCCGTTTGCTAATGCTGGTGCGCAGCTTGCCATTATAACTCCGCTTTTCAGTAGCGCCAAATACACTCCAGTTTCGGCCACGGTGAAGGTTCTTGAGTACTTGTCACTAAATTATGTCGGTGACAGCACCATTGAACTAGACGGGAAACATGTCCCGTTTACCTCTGCAAACTTCCTTCGACTAATTCAACAAGTAAATTATCTGTTAAACTATTGCTCAATGTGCAGTAAGGTGGGAGCATCTGGTGTCTCAATTCAAAGAAGGATTAGATCAAATCCTTCAATTAAGCCTATTAAGTTGTTTGAAGTAATATTTAGATGATTTAGTTAATTGTAAGTAGTTTATACTCGAATCAGGGAAAGCAGACAGGTATAAGGAAATAAGGAAAACTCCAGACAGCTTTGGGTTATGAAATGGATATCGTAGACAAATAAAAACGTGCTATTTTATATTTCCAAAGTTTCGATGTACTTTAATTTTAAAAAACACAGCACTTTTATTTACGATATTCTTAGCCATCATGAAAATCAACTTTTGTTAGTTACATTTTTAGCATCGTTGACGCAGAAAGTGATTTAAGTAACGGACCTGAAGGAGTTTGGAATCACAACGCTTCAATCCATATCCGATAGGAAGAAATTTGATAGGACTTAGAGAATTGGGCTTGATGTCAGGAAAATATCAATAACACTTGAGCAAACTACTGTCATTTTGATTAATTTCGAGGAGTTAGTGGTACTGCGTACTAACGGATTATGAGATTGCCCAAACTTTGCTTCGTCGTATCAACTTTATTGAATCATATTTATGTAAAATATAGCTCTTCCTGATTACGCTACTATTAGTTTATTTTCATTTTTGAAATGCTTGGAAGTTACTTTTCGACCTCTGCGATTTAGATCCCAATAACTGTCTCAGACTCGGGAAATAGGCTTTAATTCATATAAGTTGCCTTCATACTCTCGATGCTCGCTGTTCAAAACTCAGACAGACTAAATGCCAAGTTGTCAGAAGCGTGTGCCCCAAAGTGATAGGACATAGAAACAGCCGCTGAGAGTCATTCCTCTCGAGAAAAAGAATTGTTTCTATAGTATAACCGATTTCTTGTCGATTTCCCATGAATTTCTCACTTTTTTTGAAGCTAGAAGCAAATGAACGCATCACCCACTGTGAAAATTTATAAGTACTGGTTAGCTGGCCAATCGAATTGCCTCCTCTGAAGATACTTTAGTTTGAATTACTTCTTTTTACTAGACCACCGTGTCCTACATACCAGACAACGACAACGAAGAAGAGGCATTCACAATTGCTTTCAATAAAGATGGTTTCTTACGCATAATTGAATTTTTCATCTACAAAATAATGCCCGATGGCTTTGTTGAGGTCGGTTTTATATAACGAGAAATGGATTTCCTTAATTTTTGTGTTAATTAGTTTCCATTTTTACCCTTAGTTTTTCAGAGGTTCTTTTGACGAAAGGTTGAATTCCCTTGTGCTTCCAGACAATATTTACAAAACTTCCGTGGTTACACTTGTAGCATTTCAAGTAAGTAGAAATTCGGGTATTTCTTGTTTTTCTTTAAATTAAAAAACGCGTCGGGAGTTCAGGACCAACAATCCTTTGACTAATTTGGAGTCATGGGTTGGCGGTTGACGCTGTTTTATCGAATTACTTTAACTGCAATGGTTAAGACGCTAATGTGAGAATGAAGTTTTCGAACAATTGAGAACCCAATCCCCACAAAGATGTCAAAATGTTTGTTTTTTTTGTGGTTAGAATGCGTCAATTTATAGACACTTCGATGCTCAGAAGTCATTTATTTGAGTGCAGTGGGGATAGTGAATCGACACAGAGACTCGTACTCAAGCCGTTGCAAATGTCCATGCAAAAATCAATATGAAACTTTTATTAATATAATAAGAATCGAATTACGAAAATTTAGGAGAATACTTAGATAAATACAAAGGCCATGCTACTTCATCTCGTGGACCTTTTAACGAAAAAGAAGTTGATTACTAATTATATTATTAACAAATATTACTTAATTAATCTTTTAATGATGAATAGAAAATTATTTCCAGGCATAACAATATACCCAAAGTAATGTGAGTGGCAGGAACAATTTTGTTGATAATTTTGCTCGGATTAATAGCAAATGCGCTTAAGAATAATTAAGTAATTATTGGATCGTCTGGCTTGAATCAATATGATGTTTTTACCAATAATAATGATTAGTGCCCACTGTAGGATATAATATTCCTGCCTTCGATTGAACATGAAGAGTTTTCAACAGGCAAACAGATGATTGACGAAATATTTCGATCCGAACTACCCTACAGTTTTAAAATTGTCTACGTGGGACACGATCCAGATCTTCCAATCCAAAAAGTAGTTGAAAATGCTCTAAATGATTCCAAGGTATGCAAATTTTTTAATGGATATTGAGTGAGCCCCTTGTTACCTCAATATGACCTTAAATATATATATTTAGAATGAAGTGTCAATGTCCGCATTTCCAATGTTCTGGAAGCTAGGAACAGATCTCAGACACTCTGAGACAGTCCTATACGATGGTATCGTAATGATCAAGAGCAAGACTTCGAGTAAACCTGCTCTTTTTCAAATCTTTCAGTCAATCAGTGGATTCATTTGGTTGTGTGTTCTTGTATCTATCATCTTCGTAGCTGTCATCTTCTATATTATTAAATATGTGAATGATAAACAGTCAAAAGCTATGGGTCTTCTACCGAAAGATTACAATGTCAGGCCCATTAAACGCTTCATCTCTGTCCTCTTCCGCACTTTTTCTGCTGTTCTGTTGGCCAAGGTAAGCATAGCCTCATTAATATACAAACAGAAATAAATATACATATACATATACCAAATGGCAGGCTTTGTGATAATTAGCATTAACCCTTTAGTTGACTTCGAGTCTCACAGAGGGGAGGAGCATCAATGTCACAAAAAGTCGAGATGGGAAATAGAAGGGTGATTCACAGATGTAAAATAGACAGACGCAAAGGTAGAGAAAAGGGTAAGGTGAGTACTGTGAAAGTGGTCGAATATGACATGCAGTCGGGTCATGATAGTTTGAAGTCAGAAGTCAACTGTCGGTTTATAGACTTTTTTGCCTTACTGGCACACGTTGCCCAGGGTGTACCAATTGAAATTTGCAGATTCATCTTGAAGTCTTCTGTTTGATTTTACTTATTTGCTCAAACTTTTAAAATGCTCGAACTTTTAGCTTTCAACTGAAAGAGCACCTTAAATTTTCCTTAATTGAAGTGCCGTTTAAAGTCAATTTTTTTGGCATTTCGATGAGCGAAATTTTCTTTCGTTGGTAAAATACAGTAATAGTCACATATAAGTCCAATTTTAACTATTATCGAGTAATATTTTATACAATTATTCATTAATTGTAACACCCGCAATAGTGATCAAAACTTTTCGACTAATCTTTCTATCCTTTTGCGTATAAACAGCGATTTACATGCTGTCATGCATTAAATCCAATTGTGTTCTGAGTAGATTGATTGTTAGCATGATCAGCTAATGCGTAACGATATTTTTCTGCTTAATTGATCCCACTGGGAAATACTACTCGCTTTCTCGGGATAAGTATCGGAATCCACCACAAGTCAACTAGTCGTTATTTCTTCAAGATACTTGAACTGTATCGGACTTCATGTTCAATAAGTTATGAATTAGATATCTCATTAACTTATCCATCTAAAGCCACTTGACAAGTTTAAAGAATAATTGAAAACGAAATTCTTTGACTGATCAGATCCTTTCGCATACTTTGCCTTTTCTCTATCCTCTCAGATTTTGATTAAACCAAAGCGGATAGCGGTCGGTGTGCTCCATCAAATCTGTTGGCTCGCCTCGCTCTTCGTCATCGCGACATACGCCGCCTCACTGGCAGATCAACGATTTGTTGGATACCGCACCACAGTTCCTTTCTCAAGTATTGATGGACTCCTGTCAAACAGTTACGGTTATAGATGGTTCTTTCTTACTAATAGTTCGGCTCTCTACAGGATTGAGGTGGGTTGGCTAATCTGCATTATCCTTAACACCATTTTTTTAATTTTTATCAAATGGAAGGCGTTTCGAAAGTTATCATTAGCCTTTTACCTGACTTCGCAATTCAGAGAGGGAAGGAACATCAAAATAAGAGAAAGTTGAGGGGTGAGGGACAGAAGAGTGATTCAAAGATGTAAAAGAGACAGACAGACACAAAGGCGGAGAAAGGGTGAGATGAGTACTGTGAAAGTGGTTGAGTCGGGCCATGGTAGTTTGAAGTCAGAAGTCAACTGCCGTTGTATGGACTTTTTGCCGTATGAGTATACGTTGTCCAGGGTGTACCAAGTGGAGGTAAGTCTATCTCATACCCCATCCTTAACACCATAAGTTTCCATGTGCGTTTGATACACCTTTGTAACATTAAAATGATCTAGAGGTTTAAAATTTTATTAAAAAATAAGTTAAGATGAATACCAAATTTATTTTTATTACAAATAACTCTTTGAAATACGCTTAGATTCTGATTTGAGTTCTATGGCTATCCATGTTCGCAAACTTATTTATTTTTTTTACAAATTTTGAGGCTTAAATAAATGAAATAATTGTTGAAATTTAGAGTTAAAGAAGTAGAATTGTTAACTAATAGAGCGATTGCTAACTGCGTTATTCACGAAGTTGGGGCTGAATTACCATGGACTGTGCTCAAAAATTAAGAACTTGTTTATGAAAATGGCAAGGACAGATGGGTGAATTTGATTGAATTTTCAATTTAACAAGCGGATTACATGCAGGACCAATAGAAAACGGCAAGGAGTTTACCATTGTGAGATGTCACCGCATGAAATCGGATCATCCTTAAATTAGTCATGACTTTCTTTCAAATTGACAAACAAAGTTTTTTTCAATTAATATCTAAAGTAAGTAGGGTTTACTCTGTTTTGTGTATTTCTTTCGTAATTATTAGCGTATTGAACGTGAACTCAGACTCACATTCGACTGATTTTAAGTATGCACTACCTGTCCAACCAATAAAAAACGATGCAAAGGTGTCTTCAACTTTGAATTTTTTACATTTAACCACATTGTTTGTTTTACCTTATTTTATCGGCTTTATTTGAACACATGGAGAATAGTTTGAGTTGAGCTAGTGTTTGTACAGAAACTATGAAATTGGAATACCATTATCTATAATGACAGAGAAAATAAAATTTTCAATTATAGGCTTCAGAAAACCAGCATCTTTAACTGCGACGCTGGTTAAAAAGGAAGCTATGTTAATTCTATATTATATTAATTCTGCATTTCCAAGATGATTTGAAATGACCTGGAATTAACGATGAAAAGTTAAAAAAATTTGTCCCTCGATGATCTTTGTCCGTAAATTCCAGTGCTAATTCCCTGTAATTCGAAATATGTGGTTTGCCATTTCTACATAGTTTTAATAACTGCAATTATTGAAATTTTTATACTCAGAACTGGGGTGTGCGATAGACTTACCTCCTCGTGGTGCACCTTGGGCAACGTATACTCTGACTTACCTCCTCGTGGTGCACCTTGGGCAACGTATACTCATTCGGCAAAAAAGTCTATTAACTGGCAGTTGACTTCTGACTTTAAACTACCATGACCACACTGTATGTCATATTCTGCCACTTTCACAGTACTCACCTCACCTTTTTCTCGACTTTTTTCACTTTGATGTTCCTCCCCTCTTTGAAGTCTGAAGTCAACTAAAGGGCTAATGATAACTATCAAAACACCTGCCATTTGATATAAATAAATTAATAATACTCAGAACTTTTTCAATGAGATAAGAAAGTAAATGTAATGGAACCAAAACTTCCAGTTGAAAAACTGAGCTGAATGAATACTATTCAAATTCATCGAATTTTAAGTTTGACGGAGAACAAGCCAATAGGACAACACTTGGGGTCAGGTATGATAACTTTCGATCTGATTTACCAATAAAGAGGAAATTTGAGAAAAGATCAACCACTTAAACGTCTTATTTGGAAAAGCGCACTGTTTAACTATTTATTTATTTATTTATACCAAATGGCAGGCGTTTTGATAGTTATCATTAGCCTTTTAGTTGACTTCAGGCCTCACGGAGGGGAAGGAATATCAAATTGAAAACAGTCGAGAGAGGAGGGGGAATAGAAGAGTGCTTCAAAGATATAAAAGAGACAGACACAAAGGTAGAAAAAGGCGAGGTGAGAATGTGGAAGTAATCGAATATGACATACAGTGGGGGTGATGGTTGTTTGAAGTGAGAAGTCATGCCGGTTAATAGACTTTTTGCCGCATGAGTATACGTTGCCCATGGTGCACCACGTGGAGGTAAGTCTATCGCACACCCCTGTTTAACTACTGTTTAGATCAACTTTGAAACCCAAGCATAACACACTTTTTCCATCTGTTTGACTTTCGAGATATTCATTGAACTAAAACCTGGTTTATTTTGAGGCCTTTGGTGCTAAATAACTTGTTTGTTGGTAATATTCATTCTTCAGCAATCCGAGGATAGGGCGTTACAGAAGCTGTTGAACAAGGCAAAGAGCGAATGGGAAAACGAGATGTACTGCAATAGCGTTGCTGAAGCCACAAAACGCATTATTGACAACGAGTTCGATATTCTCATCGTTAGTCAACTTGAAGCCAAACGAATACTTAGTGTGGAATGCAAGCTTGAAAGAGTAAGTAAAATTTTGCCATCCAAGGTCATAAGACTGATCATTGAATAATTGCATCAAGTGAGAGGAAAAAACTGAATGGAACTTAAAATAGAAAGTGGATTAACTGAGCTGTCACATATTACTTTGATTTTAAAAGTAGCGACATTACTAATCTTTAAATATAAAAAAACAAATGCAATTTTTTTCTAAACCAAGATTGGGGCGACGGAATATCTTTTTCCCTTGGCATTTCTACTTTCGGGTCCTGAACACTTCGTCAAGTTGATGCAAAAGCGAATCAACGTAGTCAGCAGCAAACAAATCTTTGATACTGTGGCGCGGAGGTAACGACATTGCATTTCAATAATGACTTTGATATCCTAAATTGTTTCGTAGTACTAAATTGGGTAGTGTTCTCGTACTATTCATATCGAAAGATGACCCCTTAAATGGCCCAAAAAGAAGATTGTACCTTTTTTTGAGATGTCTCGAGGTCAATACGCACCCACACGCAAATGTGTATATGCTGATGTCATTCGATGAGGTCGTTACATCAGAAGTGTAAAAATTATCAATGACTTATGTAATACTAGTGAATTGGAAAAGGAATTCGCAGGTTCAATATTTTCATATTGGGGTGAGCGATAGACTTACCTTCACGTGATGCATCCTAGGCAACGTATACTCATACGGCAAAAAAGTCTGTGAACCGTCAATTGATTTCTCATTTCAAATTACTATGACCCCACTCTATGACATAATCCTATACTTCTACAGTGCTTCTTGTACCTTTTCTTCGCCTTTCTGTGAATCACCCATCTGTTCCTCTTTTCAAAATTTTCTCACTTTAATATTCCTCCCCTCTGTGAAGCCCGAAGTCAGCTAAAGAGCTGATGATAACTATCAAAACGCCTGCCATTTAAAATGTCAATATATACATAATCTTATTTGACGAACACAGTGTATATCGTTGCCATCGAAAGAAATATGTAAGCTAAAGCGCCTTATTTTGCATCGACATTAAGAAATCAGCTGTTTTTAACAAAGATTTACATTTAGAGGTGTCATTCTTCAACTTAACATATATTATTCTTCGCTTAGAAACCTGGTCTTGGGTGATTGTCCACTAACAACAGGGGCGATTAACGTACAGGCAAATACTTTTTCCATTGAAGAAATGAGCGGCATTTTCTTCATCGTATTAGTTGGTATTGTCTCCAGTTTTATTGTCGCTGGTATAGAATTCATTGCTGAAAAGTACGCAATGTACCGACAATGGCTCCGAGTAAATATGCTTTCGATGATTTCTACTTATATATATTTCAGTAGTTATTACGTAGGCCTTCACATTTCAGGAGAGTGATATGAAGTTTGGGGAAGCCTACGAAGGTGAAGTGTTGGAAGTTATGTAAGCTAATGTTAATGTAATTATGACCTGATGGAATTATTTTTTTATTGTCCTTGACATTTCTAAAGGGAATCAGGAGTATGGATACAACTGCTCGATCAAGATATTACTGCATTCGTTGAAACGGCAAATGTTAGAACCAGCAAAGGCGTACGTTAAATAATTTTATTTATAGGCTTTAAATTACTCTTTATGTATATAATCTTTTTATTTACAAATCTGATAAGGTCAAGTGGGTCGTTTTGAAGGCAGATATAAATATAAAATTGGTCCATACAAGAATCAAGATTCTTAACTTTCAAGAGAAGAAATTTTTTCGAAAAGGCCTTCTTTCAAATGATGGTTTGGAACCATAGATTTCGTGCAAAAAAACAATATGCGAAGTATATTTTGGACTTATTATTTATAACGTTAACTGGAAGAAATAATTAGAATTCACTTCTTCACTATTATATTTCCAAGAAATATCACCAACTTTACAGCAGTGAACTTGTTTATTTAATAACTTAGTTATCTTAAATCTTATTATTCATGAATTAGCAGACAAAGATTAATATTTCTACAAAGGGCTAATCTTTAGTAATTACTCTGACTGATCACAGTTATTACTAAATATATATATTTTCTAACGTAATACAAACCTCTATAATCCAAGGAATTGATGATTTTTAAATGATTTGAAATTAGTCTATTGTAATATCGTTTTAAACAAAATTGTTTCTTGACAGGGTTCTGATATGCCATGATCAACTTTGTTTTAATCAACTTTAAGCGCAATATAGGAACTAGCTTTTCTATCTTGATTACTACTAACCGATTGCAAATATATTAATTTGGCGGAATGTTGATCTTTATTAACAAAAATGTATTATTTCACTTATCCACCAGCGCCGATTAGAAAGAAGTCGGGTTCAATCTGAAACCCAACCAGTCTTGGTAAGAAGATTTGTACGCAGAATTTTGATCTAACTCATGCACTGTTGTGCTGTTTTATCTAACGATTTCGCAACATACAAAAGCGAGATACCTATTGGATTCTAATGCACAATGATCGTTGATGGAGAATATTTCCTTTAATGACGTTGAATGATTAAAATTACAAGAAATCAATTTCAAATGATTTCAAAAGCATTTATTTTGAGGTATAGAACACATTGTTGCCCCATTTCTATCCACAAATACTGCCATTTTATTGTGTTAATTTCACTGTCATCAACAAACCATTTGCCAACATTTGATACTTATTGCTTGGAGTTACCTATGTCAAAATGAAAGCGAATTTCTCAAAAGCCGAGCGTTCAAGCACTGAAAGTATTAAAATAGTTCATTCTTGAATTAGTGGGTTGAACTCTAGTTGATAAATACTACTTAAATAGAAAATATGGCATTCAGTAGATTGTCATATCTTTTCGGTATGTGCGTTGACTAGTCAGATTCTAACTTCTAGGTTCGATCTCAACATGCCTGTTTCGTTGAGAAGATTTCAATGGAAAAGTTACTTTAACGTGAACATTGAATGAAGTTTGCATTCTTTGTTTACATTTCAAGACCCGAAAGTGGATCATGATTAACTTTACCAACTCAGATTGACCTGAGTCGGTCAAAAGTCAGGGACAATAGCAAGGTACATTTAATCCATAGTAATTTTTTATGTGATATAAATTTATTGCTCCTAAATTCCTATCAGTCATATGCACAAATTTTTGGCTGATACAATTTTGGTGGTCTAGCTATGCACCTAAGATGAAAATAGGTATATAGCACGATTGCTCACTAGTGGATTATGATCTCTCTCTCTCTGTATTCAGCCTGACGGAGCACCAAATTTGGCGATTGGATCCCCAGTGATGGCGACATACATAGGCAATGATCCCCACACGACCAATCCTCTTTTCACCGTATCGGAGGTGCCAAGAACACAACGCAGCACAAGTCGAGAGTCTGCCTCACACGATTGATTTCACTGCACACTAATTCACCAAACTTTATTACATCGATTTGAACTTCTTGTCTGTATTTGCACGCTTGTCTGATCCCATTAATATTACTCATTTTCCCTGCCCTGTGGGAAAAGTTTGTTCTCTTCGGAAAATGACAATTTGAGCCCGCAATTTTATATTAATTAATGTTAGATATGAGGTTCCAATGGCGAATTGATATAAAATGCACTACTATCGTATTGTTTTCGAAGTGATATTGAGTGGCAGGGCTTATTGGTCCCACACAAAGAAGTTACCCACACCACAGGAAAAAGTTGGATGTGATGTTTGGTCAATATATTCAATGTATATTCTACTGTTTCTTCGTGTGATATATTAGTGTATTGTAAAGACAGGAAACTCTGGCAGTTGTATGTAAACATTGGGACAGTAGGGTAGGATGGTATTACTGAGATTGCTCTCCAACTCACCGTTTCGAGGCGTAGTTTATTGATAGGTATTGGGAGAACTTAACCAGCGACCCAAAATGAACTTTTTATCAACATCCATATATCTGGCTATAGTAAACTCAAGTTAATTCACAGATTAACTTTAAAATGATTTATTGCGTATATTCTAAGACCTATCTAACGCATTGATTGAGTAGAATTCACTATCACGGAATCAATATCTGCTAGAAATCACGAGTTCAATCCTATTCGACGCATATCTCTTCACTTGGATGGTCCAATGTTTTGGTTAATTCGGCAATGAGAAGGGCCAAAACGATACTGAGAGCAAGACCAGAGTACCAAGGAGTTTCGCTTTATCTGATTTCCAGATTTGGGTTAAAAATATTTACTAAGTGGTCACTTCACTTCCGAAAATTCTTATTATTCCAATTAGGTCTTGGTTGGTAGAGAGCACTTGTCAACGGGGTTAGGTGCCTAATGATCAGTGTTATTTAATTAAATAAGTTTGATCCTGCTGATTCATTTCGGTATTACTCCAAATAACTAAGAAGACAGTGTTTTCTTACATGCCATTTGCTAACCTAAAGTTTAAGCTCTGGAAAGACCATCGCGCTACTTATACCTGAAGTCATCACGTGGAACCGTGATGCTAATCGCACTAGGGAGCAAATGAGGTCACGAGAGCAAAGTCCTCTTCGCTAATTAACAATCTTTAATCACAGCATGACCAACGTAGCCGAACTTTTGAGCCAGTCAATTACAACCTAAATAAACGTGTTCCACATGTCTTCTCCCTCTATATGGTCGAGGTAGATTAGCTAACTTCGGGAGACTTTCCAAACTAGAGGATCTTGGCGCAAAGATTACTGAATATAAGTCAAAGCTCATTAGTGTAGCAATCCGTCTTCCACTCAAGGTGGTATGACCTTGAACTAATTGCTTAAAGAACAACTCATGATCCAAACCAATGCAGTTCTAGGATAGTAAGAACCTCAATGTCAGCCATACTAAGGTAAATATGCCAATATTTGAACAGGGCTCTTTTTCATATTAGCTTATATTTAGTGTGTTACTATCAATTGCTTACGATGCATTAGAGGTATATGTAGTATACTTTACTTTATTAATGAAAGTGCAACCGGCTTGATAGAAGTGATGAAAATATTTTTTTAAATTGATAATTTCCAAAAATCAATCAATTAATGGCTTTACAATTATCACTATATCACACTCTAAATACAGAATTCATTTTTATGAATGAATCAATACATAGATTCATACGCAACCAAAGAATGTGCAACATGTGTAGGTACTTCAAACACGCGTCTTATCTTGTTAATTATGACAATAAATAAGGCCTGTTTTTCCTCCTTCCTAATTAGTAGTCCTGACATCGACTGGAGGGGCACCATCACTGTCTCTGTGATTCCATGCGCGCTCCTCCCAAATATTGTAGATTGGAAGTGTGGTTATTGGATCATTGCCCATGTAGATCGCTTTCACAAGATCACCAATTTGCAAATTGACCCGGCCATCCGCCTGTAAAACAAAGATTGCTTTAGTGATTACAGCTGATCACGTGATTATATCGCGATTTAAATTGCATCCCATCCGAGGAATAAGCTTGCATTTTATTCATAATAGAAGCACATGAATAAATATATCGATTGATCAATAGAGGCCAAGTAGACACTAATTGGTGAGTAGAAATAGAGCACAGAATTCGGTTAAAATGGCGGACTTACATTTCTCTTGACTTTAATGTGGTTCGCATCTGCGAAGATGGTATCATTTGTGCCATCAACGCGAACCCAAATGCCTTCATCTCTGAAATGAAATCAAATTTCGACTTTTTGATGGAGCTGAATTTGCATAATTAATTCAATGTTAACCTATTTACATCAAGAAAGCACAGTGAACAAAGGAAAATTCACAAGCCAGTCAGTGTTCATCGCTCCCTTTACAGATAAGAAGTAAGTAAGAAATTTAAAATCTGGCTAATTAAAAAATTAGGATCAATCGATCATAAGGTGAGATTCCTAGGTTCAACGTAATACTGAATGGTGGTTAATCTGGAAGAAACTATTCATGAGTTTTGAACAAATTAAAAAGGTAAGCATGTTTTCTTTGAGACAATTATTTTTTCTACTTTGATGAACCTCCAGAAATGGACAACTTTAATAATAAAAATCGATTTAGGGATAGACTTACTGCATTTGGAGGACACTGCCAACATACGAGCCCCCGAATTCACGGTCATCACCCTAGAAAGGTACACTCTTTCACTCGAAACCAACGGAAAAAATATTTAGCAAAAAAAGATGAGAACTGTGGATTACTTGTTTTCTTTGGCGATAAATCGGGTAGTTTTCGATTAAAAATTCAATTCCAGAAACGATGAAAGCAATAATGATCCCGATCAGTACTATGATGAAGATGCCTCCAAATTCCTTCAAAGTGAAGGGGTGATGCTGCATATGGATGGCTTCGGAGGAGAGAGGACAGTCACCCAAACCAACTGTTCTGAAGACGGTCATCAAAAGAGTTTATTTTGCTTAATTACACCAACTAGAAAGGCAACTGCAAAGGAAACAACTCACCGTTTCTCAATGTTCTCAAACACGTTCGATGAACTAAGATACTCAATTCGGTTCTTTAACTCAGTAACAAATTCTGTGGGGCCCGAAAATAGGTAGCCAATACCGTAGAGGTATTCAACTAAACCAGACTGAGAGGAAGTTAAGCAGTTTAGTAAATTATATTATTATATTTATAAATGAAAGCGTTAGGACATTTGAAACAAAGCAGAGTTGGTTTATTTCAAATATTTTAAGTTATTTTTTTTCAATTAGAGATTTTTTGTGCTGCTCTTACCGTTGCTTGCGCAGGAACTACCTATAAGGAATTTATTCAAAGTGCGTAATAAATACGTTTACTGACGAAATGTACTAGATTAGGGGTATAATTATTGGAATGAATAAATGTCAGAATCGTGTAGACTTTCGAATCAATGCACATCTCCTGTAAGTCACTTTAATTACCATTCGATCATCTAGATTTTCTTTCAATGAGATTTTGTAAGCATTTTGATGCAGCTGGATAACGTGATAATTTGTATTTCATCTCACTCTGTGTGCATATTTATTTGGATATCAACAAATGGGGTTCGCGATAAATCAAACTCCTCGCGATGCGCCCTGGGGGTGTGCGATAGACTTACCTCCACGTGGTGCACCCTGCGCAACGTACACTCATACGGCAAAAAGTCTATTAACTGACAGTTGACTTCTCACTTCTAACTACCATCACCTCACTCTATGCCATATTCGACTACTTTCACAGTACTCACCTCAACTTTTTCTACCTTTGTGTTTGCCTCTTACATCTTTGAAAC